ATCAAATTCCCACATCCCCAAATTGCCACGTCCCCAAATTTTCACATCCCCAAATTTTCACATCCCCAAATTTCTACATTCCCAAATTCCCACATCCTCCAATTTCAACATCCCTAAAATCTATTGAGGAAGCAGCCAATGTGGACGTTTAAAATATCGGTTGTTTGGCGCGTATGCTAGTGGCGCCACGGATCGCATGAAATAATCAACGATCTTCTTCCTGTTACCGGTCCGCGCCCCACTGCACGAACTGTTTAGTCGTTATATTTATGTGAAACTGTATGTATCTCTTAATTCGTTATTTTTTCTCTTTCTCATTATATATTTGCAAAGTGTAACTCTGTTTACATATGTATAAATTAAATCTATAAAGATGGTGGCACTTATTTCAACCTATAATCAAATTCCCACCTCCCCAAATAGATACATTCCAAAATTCCCCACTCTTCAAATTGCGTTCACCTCCCAAACACCCCCCTCCCCAAATTCCCAACTCACCAACTCCATAGAAAGCAAAATCCCATAGTCCCAAGAACAATAAAGTATCGAATTCCAGAAAGCACGATATGCAAGTCATATTCCGTCAGTACGGAGAAAATTGCATATTCGCGAGATGCAAATGCGTATACCGCGACCGTGCGTAGCAACTTCGGGGCACGAACGAAATAAACACGCGAGCCTCCTCTCCGAGCAATTTCGCTGTCCCGGCAATGGGAAAGCGGTGCATCGATCCCTCGGAAATGTTCCGTGAATCGAATTCCCAGCGTTCGATTATAGCGCCGGCTCGCACGCCGAACCTCCATAACGAATGCGGAATACATTAATGACTTCTTCTTCTTCTTCTTCTTCTCCGGGGTTTCACGAACGGTATGAATTATTTAACCGGTGGTTTGGTATATCAGGTCAAAGGCAAACGGGCTGCGGGGCCGATTTTTCCGGCGAATTATGGCGAGTGATCATGAACGAGTTCGATCATGATTCCACGTTACTAAGTCAGTCGTTGCGAACTGTGCTGCAATTATCCAATTACCGGAGGCAAAACTGAATCTATTATGCACCCGTATCATCATTCTAACATGCTATGCTCGCTACTTCGATCTTCCGGTATTCGACATTGTTACACAAAAATTCGAACTTCTGTTACATTTTAATGGCTACGATTACGAACGACTTCGAGTAGCTATTATCGGGTTGAGAGACTTCGAATGCATCATTTTTTATCGGAACATTGCATGTATTATTTTTTATGGGATTGAAGACTAACGTATAATCTTTTACCGGTTCGAAGACATTGAATGCGTGATTTTTTATCGTTTCGGTTGAAGACATTGAATGTATTCTTTATCGGAGTGAATGTATAATTTTATGTTGGGTTGAGTTATTGTCTTTTGCTGACGAGTTATGCTGTTCTCGTTGGTGGATATTTTTCCTAACTATGTTTATTAATATATAGAATTTGAAGAATTAGAATTTATAATGTACGGTTAGAAATGTTAGTATCCTCGTAATCTGATGACCCGTTATCGGTCGTAATTTGGAAATTAGCGGTTTTACGGAGCTACTCGAACACGATCTAATCGGTGGTCTCTAAGATACAAAAAAGTCCATCAAATTACAAAGGTCATGGATTTTACGATGTTCGTGGTTCGTTAAGCTTTATCTCGCGGTGTTTTTTCTAAGAGGTTATCTGGTGTCTTAACCAGGAATTCAAAACAGAGATCACAAACCTTATAAGAAAGATAAGAACCTGTTATTGAATAATAAAAAACCTATTGGAAGAACAGTACACTCCGCTTCCGTTTCTAACCGACTTCAAAAGAAGAATTAATATTTTTTATAAATTAATTTGATGTAACTTGTCTAATTACTGTCATGTTCAAAATTAATGAAAAATTGAAACGTGACATTAAATTGAAAATTCAGGTATCGAAACTTTTTGAAAAAGGTGCAAAGGACTTTAGATAAAAAATATTAAAAAGACAAATAAAATTAAAAAGCACAATTATAATTGAACATTACTGAAATAATGTAACTGAAATTCACCATCAACAACTTATATAAAAATCGAGATAAAAGAGAATACACGTGTCGTCAAATTCTTGCATGCACACCAATGACATCACTGACTACAATATTTAAATTTGCCGCCAATTTCAAAGATTAATATTACTAAGCTAAAAAAGTATTCATATGAACACAAAGGTTAGTCAATAATATTAAACAATAATCTCATTCTAATTCAATTATTCTATTCCTTCCATTGTTCCTCTTTTTCTTGAATTCAATTTAAATTCACATTTGGCGCCAATTTCAAAAAGTTAATACAAACCTATCAAAAAAGAACATTATCTCGTAATATTCAGCGCTACGGTTTAACTCTAAGTGTTTCTCCGATCGAAGACTAAAAGTTGTACAAAGTTTAACGAAAAAAAATGATTAGATCTAAGGTGATCGTGTTTAGAAGTAAATTGCGAGTTGCGGTTTCGCCGTTGTTACTCGAACGAAGAAAAGAATGAAACGATATCCTGGGCTCGTTCGATAAAGAAACTAATGGCGGCGAGTCAGCCGAGAAACACTCACGGACAAGGTCCGGTGAAAGTGAATTTCCTGGAAATCGGTGTGCGTCCACGTTCTTTCCTCGTAATCCATGGCGCGAAGGGGCACAAGAACGTCGGCGTGAGTAAGCAACTGGCGTAATAATACGGTTTGTGCCGTTTAACGGGAACCAGGATTCTCCCGATACCTTTCCTACGTGCGTCTGAATACGTGCTTTTAGTCTTGTCGATCGCCGATTTCCGTACAGTCTTCTCTACACCGTTATTTACTCCGCTCGATTCAACCCTTTTCTTATTAACGATCAAACCGATTCTACACGCTCGTCGTAAAACCGTTCCCGAATATTACGGCTAAGTGAATGCGCCATCAACTTAACATGCTAATTGTTATGGGTTCCTTTAATGATCGGATCTTGCTATTTTATTGACTGTACCTTGTGGTGTTCTTTGCCACGCACTATATTGCCAAGTATTAGGTAATGTTCACTGCTATCTAAAGTTTCCAAATTTTCAAATTTTTAATTCACCAACTTCAAAATTTCTTAAATCCCCCAAATTTCCTAAATTCCAAATCTCCTAAATTCCAGATCTCCCAAATTTCAAATCTTCCAAATTCCAAATTCCCCAAATTCCAAATTCCCCAAATTCCAAATTCCCCAAATCCCAAATTCCCCAAATTTCAAATCCCTCAAATTCCACATCACCCAAATTCCAAATCCCTCAAATTCCAAATCCCCCAAATCTCAAAGTCTCCAAATCCCCCAAATTCCACATCCCCCAAATTCTACATCCCCCAAATTCCAAATCTCTCAAATTCCAAATCCCCCAAATCCCAAAGTCCCCAAATCCCAAATCCCCCAAATTCCACATCCCCCAAATTCCACATCTCTCAAATTCCAAATCCCCCAAATCCCAAA